CTACAAGTAGCTGACGTGCAATGGGGCGGATTTCATTCAGGGTCAGTGGTGCCCGTCTCTGATTCATCAAATCCCAAAGGCTCCTGTCCAGCATCTGGAAGGCGATGCAAGACATGCCTTTGAATATGAAACTGTCTTCGAATCTTACCAAGTTGTTTACCTCTGGGTCAAGGATCCTGAGTTGTTTCAGCATTTTCACTTCTTCGACGTGATCTATCAACTCTTTGTTGATCTTGATGGCCACAACCTCGGATGTATTTAAATTGATACACTTGGCAACCTTGCCAAAACTTCCTTCTCCAATGAAGTCTAAAACACGGTATTGTACAGACTTGTTGCAGAGTATGTCATGCTTTTTCAGCTGAAAGTCCTTGTTCATTTCGTTTTGAGACATTTTTCCGATCAAGTCTTTCCAAATAGTATCCAAGTTAAGTAGTATCCAAGTTGAGTGGTATCCAAGTTGAGTAGATGCAGAAGAGCTCGTCTTGCTGTGGGAATGTGATGCTATCTACTGAAGTAACAAGAGAAATAACATGCAATATATACTCTGACATCAAAGGCACATGTGATGTCATCAAAGCCATATTTAAGTTCTAGAACATCAAAGTCACATGGGATGTGTCACCAAGGCAACTCTGCATTCTAAATATCATGGAGTGGAGCTTGAAAAATAGTATAATTTTTCAAAACAACTTGCCCTCATGCCCATAATTTGCAGTCTTTATCAATCATTTTAGGTCAAATTGTAGGAAATGTTGTGCTGGTCACAGACATGGGTCAGTGGACTTCACCTAACCCTAACCCAACCAACTGCTCCATTAGACTCAATGTCTTATTGGAATATCCCAGGGTAGTTAAATCAAACTGTGTCAGTGTATAGCTGGACATTTTATTCATTTCTATTTCGATAATTTCACTTAAAACTGTTATGTTAATTTTGCGCGAAAGACGTCTTCCAGTCAGTCCACTGAAAAATCCATTCTCAGTGTATGCGCACTGGAAGATTTCCACACACATCTTTGAGAGGAAGGGATCTTTTACAATAGAAAATGTAATAATAGACTATGCGATACGCTCTAAGGCCATGTTTGAAGGAGGTTTAGCTGAGATGGACTGTCTTGTCTGCAGGACACCAAATGAAACGGCGTCTCCACTTAATATATTCTAACAGGCTTCTTGGTTCTTTTTGTCTGGTAGCCTGGGGAATAAACAAGAAGACATTGGAAAGATAAACGCATTATAGTCAAATCACAAATGTTGATGGAATCTTTCGTCCTTTCAGTCTGATTCTCCCCCTCCTCTCTCTCCTTTTTATATAACCAATAATTCACTGCATCTATTAAGCTGTAATTTCACAACCCATTCATTTGATTTCAGCCCAATCTCTCCGTCTGCCCTGGCTGAGCTGCTGGAACTCCAGGAAAGTGGACACATCTCCTCTTCGGTTGCCAAGCAGGTCAGTCAGCTGCACAGACCATGCAATTATCCCCTTCTATCCGTCACTCAATACTGTGTGCACACACACACACACACACACACACACACACACACACACACACACACACACACAGGCTAGTGTTTGTTTGTGTTCTGGTTTCACCTGTGTCATCCTGGCTTATCTTCTCTCAGGTGTTCCAGGAGATGTGGAGGTCATCAGGTAAGACGGCCTCTCAGATCATCCAGGAGCAGGACTTGGGTCTTGTTAGTGACACCACACAGCTGCACAACATCTGCCAGAAGGTGGTGGACTTGCACCCTGATGAGGTGAGGGCTCACATGCAAATTGTTACTTGTAATTATGTTTGTTTGTTTTCTTTTGCATGTTTTAGATGACCTGTGTTTGTTGTGCCTCTCTGTAGGTTCACGCCATCAGAAACGGAAACAAGAAAGTTCTGAATAAGCTGATGGGCCTGGTTCAGAAAGAGACCAAAGGCCGAGCCGACCCAGTTCTGGTGAGGGCAATTTTACAAGAGAAGACTTCATGATTTGTCCTGCAAGACCCAAACGTCAGACACCGAGTCAAAGGCCTTCATGAAAGAAGAACGACATGACAGAGTAATGTCACAGCGATTCATGGTCCCTGGTGGGTTGATAAAACTGTTGAATATTGATTGAGAGGTTGATATTTTTGTAAATACTGAACAATGTTTTCATCTGACAACCATTATCTTCCATGTTTGTTATAAAAGTAACAAAGCTTTTCCGATTTAATGCTCTGTGTGGCAGTGTGTTGGATCAGTTGTCATTCATGAATCCCGAGTTACAGAAAATAAATGTCATATTTTGACATGTTATATGTTTGAATGAGAATAGCATGTAAAAAAAAAACAAAAAAAAGGTACTTGTCTCGTGACAAATGATGCATCTTAATTAACTCATTAAATGTTTAATTGAAATGGTCCGGTTAGGAAACAAAGAAGATTGTGATTTCAACAACAAATTCCTCCAAACAGTCCTGCATATAATTCGATATAAACCTTTCAATAAACTTTGTGCCATTGGCAACTGCCATATTGGCAATTATGGTAATTTGTGAGGCCTGAAAGAAAAGAAAAAAAAAAAAAAAAAAAAAAAAAAAAAAAAACAGCCAGAAGATGAAATTGCTGACTTTTTTTTTTTTTTTTCTTTTTTTTTTTGTAAGAAACATTTTGGGTACTACATTTTATGATCATTTCAACAG